GATAGGAGGCAGATTGTTTATTTGGGCTGACTTGTGGATAAACACTTTTCCATTGAAATGAATAGAAGCAGTTTATTTGTTTATGTTTTAGTTGAGATGTGTTGATAGGATAGGATGGAAGGCAGATTGTTTCTTTGGGATGACTTGTGGATAAACACTTTTCCATTGAATTGAATAGAAGAAATTTATTGGGGTTACTTGTGTCAACACTTATTTCTGAATGAATGAAATAAATAAATATCATCTTCTTTTCATTCGTCACAACTTTGAACTTGCAAGTAGCAACCTGCAAGACCAGACTAGCTGAACCCCACGCGTGGTACATTAGTCATTACCACTAGTTTGGGTGTATTAATTTCCTTCATCTCATTTGCACACTAATTAATTAACCAATAGTAGTTTTAAAATTAAGTAATTTCTTTCTTCTTTTGAATGTTTCTCTGAAAAGGACCTGATTGGACCATGATGCCACAATACAGAGTTACAAACCTGATAAAACCCGATCAAACCCTATTGATATTTTTATTAAATTCAGTTGATACAGCGCTACAAACATGAAGGAGAGAGAATTGTCTAGTTCTCAAGTTTGAAGTGTTTTTTTTTTGGTTTGTTCTGCTCAAAAAATGGAACCAAGAATTCAGTTGCTTTTTCTTCTGATTGTTTCTAGCCAACTTTACATCATAGCCGCAGTTACTGATAGTGGTGATGGTAAGTTTGCTTCTTATTGTTTAACAAAACTTTTGTTGACTTGGGAAATGACAGATTTCTTCTGCAGACCTTTTTCTTTATCATCTTCATTTGGAGGAAAGGAAACGAAACCACGAGTCAATTAATACTGAATATCAGAAGCTTCTTATTTAAATGATGATTATAGACATAATCTTCATTTCTAGACTGCTCGTTATTACCCTTGCAATTTATTAAAGTGGTTATTGTGGGTTGCTGGCTGCAACTAGAAATAGGAGCTGATCTGCAAAGTTTGCTTCGAAATTCCCATATTCTTCCTGGTATATACATATAAAAATAAAGCTAGTTGGGTCTTAATTCTTCAATGCTTGTGGCTTTTAAATTGTTTAGCAATTAAATGTCTTTCAAATTGTGAAGGGTTAAAACTCATGTAAACTCCTTTCAGTTAGGACTCAATTGATTTCAAATCATTGGAAAATCAGACTCCAAAATTCATACTGCCTTATCCAGTGAAACTACATTTATTTTTTATTCTGGTGCAGCTGCTGCTCTAACTTCTCTCAAGGCTGTGTGTAATAACTTACCCCACAATTGGCTGGGCTCAGATCCTTGTGGTGATGGCTGGGTAGGAATTGGGTGCACGAATTCACGAGTCACCTCGATGTAAGTTCTTGGTTAATTTCCACCTCTTGGATGAACGCTTATTCCTCTGAGGATTGACCTGTCTTCCATCTGTTACAGAAAATTGGCAAACATGGGCTTGGAAGGGCAAGTGTTTAGTGACATCCCATCCTTAACTGAATTACAGACTTTGTAGGTCCTCTATCTGAAGTTCACGTGGGAATCATTTCAAAACTAACTTGTTCATTCTCCTCCATTTAAGACAATAATCATTTATGTGATTGTGCTGCTCAGATTTCTCAGGATTCATTTAAATCTAAGGCTTAACTGAAACATATTGTCTTTAGGCATTATATACAAAAAGTTTAGTGGTGATTATAATAGAGAACACGAGGAACATGATAGTCTTCTGTTTTGTCAGCTAAATATGCCTCCCTACCTTTTCCATTACTTGGTGACGGATGTATAATAAATACGTATTGTTGTATCTCTGATTAAGCTTCTTTATGCAGGGATCTATCTTACAACGAGGGCCTGACAGGATCTCTTCCAGTATCAATTGGGAATTTGAAGAAGCTAACAAGCTTGTAAGTCACTAAGTCTAATTAATCTTTTTATTTTTTTATTTTTTTATTTTTTTGTGTCTTCTCTTAATGGGAAATGTATTGTTTACCATTCTCTTCAAACCTGCTTTTGTGCTCCTGTGACAGAAACCTTATTGGCTGTGGTTTCACTGGTACAATTCCTGACGCTATAGGAAATCTACAACAGCTGATCATGTTGTGAGGACTTTTACTCTAATATCAGCTATGATATAACGGTTAAACTTAAAATTTTAAATTGCTTTGTGTGGTGATCTTCCATTGTTTAATGAAACTTGATGGACAAATTTGTACTGGTTGACTATAATCACAGTTCAGCTCTGCTGTGAATTGTATTGATACTTCAATGCTTCTGCAAATTTTAATGGCAAATAAGGATGTTAATTTTGTATTTTTTTTATTAAAAGATGTTAATTTTGTTAATTTTTAAACAAGGATATTAATTTTTAATTTTTTTAA